GTGCGTGTGTGTGTGTGTGTGTGTGTGTGTGTGTGTGTGTGTGTGTGTGTGTGTGTGTGTGTGTGTGTGTGTGGTTGTGCGTGTGTGTGTGTGCGTGTGTGTGGTTGTGCGTGTGTGCGTGAGTGTGAGTGTGCGTGTGTGTTGTGCGTGTGTGTGTGTGTGGTTGTGTGTGCGTGTGTGTGTGTGTGTGTGTGTGTGGTTGTGTGTGTGTGCGTGTGTCTGTCGGCTCATTGTCTCTGTCTCTCTTTGTCTGCAGGTTTCAGAGGCTCGTTCTAGATTTGTCTCTGCAGTGGCGTTTTGCCAGTCTGCCGAATAATGCCAAGCTGGAGATGGTGGTGTGTTCGCGGCCGCAGACGGGAGCTGAGAGCGCGGTGTGTGTCTGCATGTTTATACGCCAGTGAAACTTCATCAAATGAAGTGATTTAGTTTGGCTGCTTTAACCAGAACTGACACAGAATGAGCACTGAAAATGTGTGTAATAACAATTAACTCCGGGAACCACAGTGAAATCCCCATATCTCTGGAACTCAACCATATTGGGTCTTAAAAATAAATATTGAACCGACATATTGGTCCAAAAGGATAATGAGATATCTTTAAAAGTTATTGAGTTACATGCAATCAAACCTGGGGAAAAAATAACACAAAAAGTGCTTTTTTCCCATATTTGAACTGTCACCGTAGGCATATAATGCAACACAGATTGCTAAAGTCAACAGATTTTACTAATAGAGCTACCAGTCTCTGTGTGAAAATACATAAAACATGATGCTGCCATCTTTCTGAAGACTTTTTATGCTGCTGTAATTTGGCTCTGAATCTTTTCACTTTGACCTCCCTCTACAAAAAAAGAAAAAAATATTAATAAAAGCTCAAATTTTGGCCAGGGGCATTTCTGAAATGGTTCATTTGACCCAAAATGAGCCTTTGGCCTTCAATAATGTGTCCCTCTCTTACTAATGAATACAAAAACAAAAGGTTGTAGAGTGTTTTGGTAAATGATGAGTAAATATGAAACCTAAAGATGCTTATTTATTTATTTTATAACAATTTAGTTATTATCACCCTGAAACAGGGTTGATTATAGTCAACCAGAGCTAATCATGCTAGAAACATGCTAGTAACATTCTAATCATGCTAGCAACATGCTAACACCATGCTAGTAACATGCTAGCAACTAGCTAAACATGCTAACAAAATGCTAGCAATTTGTTAAACATGTTAGAAATTAACTGCTAGCATCATGCAAGTAAAATGCTAATCGTGCTAGAAACATGCTATTGACATGCTAATCATGTTAACAACATGCAAGTAAACTTGCTAAGCATGCTCAAAACATGCTAGCATCATGCTAGTAACATGCTTATCATGTTAACAACATGCTAGTAACATGCCAATAATGCTAATAACATGCTAATCATGTTAGAAACATGGTAGTAACTTGCTAAGCATGTTAACACCATGCTGGCAACATGCTAATCAAGCTAGAGTCATGCTGGCAACATGCTAGTAAACTTGCTAATCATGCTAGAAACATGCTAGCAACTTGTTAAACATGCTAACAAAATGCTAGTAATTTGTTAAACATGTTAAAAATTAACTGCTAGCATGATGCTAGTAAAATGTTAATCATGCTAGAAACATGCTAGCAACTTGTTAAACATGCTAACAAAATGCTAGTAATTTGTTAAACATGTTAAAAATTAACTGCTAGCATGATGCTAGTAAAATGTTAATCATGCTAGAAACATGCTAGCAACTTGTTAAACATGCTAACAAAATGCTAGTAATTTGTTAAACATGTTAAAAATTAACTGCTAGCATGATGCTAGTAAAATGTTAATCATGCTAGAAACATGCTAGCAACTTGTTAAACATGCTAACAAAATGCTAGTAATTTGTTAAACATGTTAAAAATTAACTGCTAGCATGATGCTAGTAAAATGTTAATCATGCTAGAAACATGCTAGTAACTTGCTAATCATGCTAGCAACATATTAATCATGTTAACAACATGCTAGTAACATGCCAATAATGCTAACAACATGCTAATAACATGCTAATCATGTTAGAAACATGGTTGTATCTTGCTAAGCATGTTAACACCATGCTGGCAACATGCTAATCAAGCTAGAATCATGCTAGTAACATTCTAATCATGCTAGGCTCATGCTGGCAACATGCTAGTAAACTTGCTAGTCATGCTAGAAACAGGCTAGCAAACTTGTTAAACATGCTAACAAAATGCTAGTAATTTGTTAAACATGTTTGAAATGAACTGCTAGCATGATGCTAGTAAAATGTTAATCATGCTAGAAACATGCTAGTAACTTGCTAATCATGCTAGCAACATATTAGGCTTTTTCAAGCCAACCTAAAGTTTGTCTACAAACTTTTCAATCTAGTTATATAATAATATAATATATATTAAATCATATAAAATAATAATAATGTTAACCAAAAAAAATTAAGCTTATTGCAATTCAGCTCGTTCTCAAAGGAATTATTTCTCATTTTCATGTAGTTTACTTTGATGTATTACAATAAACTAATTAAAAAAATCAAAAGCAAAAATTAAAATAAAAACAAGTGCAATAGTTCAAGTGATGGCATCATGATCAGTAATTTTGTGCAAAATAAATGTGATTATCAGTTTATCCATTATGCAGTATGACTAAAACTGTAAGTTTTAATTGACTAAAATTAGACTAAATTTCCCAGACTTTCAGTCAACTTAAACAGGACAGCTTGAATGAGTATGACACAGGACTAAAACTAACCGCAGGCGCAGTGAACGTTACATAAGAGTTTAGTAAACATCTGAGAAATGATGCGTTGTCTGTCAGTGATCAGGGAGTTTAATGATCTCTGGTAATAATCAGCAGCTCGTTTGATTCCTCACTTCAAAACCTGTATTTCTGCTCTATTTCTGAACGCACACACACGCACGCACGCACACACACACACACACACACACACTCACACTCACACTCACACTCACACTCACACTCACACTCACACTCACACTCACACTCACACTCACACTCACACTCACACTCACACTCACACTCACACTCACACTCACACTCACACTCACACTCACACTCACACTCACACTCACACTCACACTCACACTCACACTCACACTCACACTCACACTCACACTCACACTCACACTCACACTCACACTCACACTCACACTCACACTCACACTCACACTCACACTCACACTCACACTCACACTCACACTCACACTCACACTCACACTCACACTCACACTCACACTCACACTCACACTCACACTCACACTCACACTCACACTCACACTCACACTCACACTCACACTCACACTCACACTCACACTCACACTCACACTCACACTCACACTCACACTCACACTCACACTCACACTCACACTCACACTCACACTCACACTCACACTCACACTCACACTCACACTCACACTCACACTCACACTCACACTCACACACACACTCACACTCACACACACACACACATACATAGATTCAGTCCCTCACCACTTCCCCCCAAAACAGGGCTGGAAGTGCTTAAAAATCAAGCCAAACCTGTCTGTTTTTATGAAGAATCAGTGAAAGGAGCCGTTTAACCTTCAGAAAACGCTGTAGGTTCATCTCAGGCTGTTCACATTTATTTCTGCAGCGCTTTATGCCATGCAGATCACTTCACAGCCAATTCACAGTAACTGAGAGGAAAATATCAGAAAAATCAGGGATGCAAACTACATAAAATATGATTTCAGTCAATACTCAAATCTATTCAGTTCAATAACTGTTTTAGGTTCAGCTGTAAGGCAGCTCTAAAAAGACAATAGAGTCATTACTCAAACTAGTTTAGTTCATTTTGATTCAGATTCAGTTCAGTAACTCTGTAAAGTTCATTCATTATAAAAAAAAAACAAGTTCAATTTCAGATGTAAAGCGGTTCTAAAAAGACAATTGAATCATTACTCAGATCAGTTTAGTTCAATGTTGATTCAATTCAGTTCAATAACTCTGTAAAGTTCATTCATTATAAAAAAATAAAGTTGAGTTTCTGATTTGGTTCAATAACTGCCTTCATTCATTGGGAAAAAAACAAGTTAAATTTCTGCTATAAAGCAGCTCTAAAAAGACAAGATCAATTTAGTTCATTTTGATTCAAATTCAGTTCAATAAGTTCATTCATTATAAAAAATAAAAAAAAACAAGTTTAATTTCAGCTAAAAAGGAGCTTTAAAAGCTAAAAAAAAATTTGGTGCAATATCTGTGTAAAGTTGAATCATTATAAAAAATAAGTCTTTTTTTTTTTTGCCGTAAAGCAGCTCCAAAAAGAAAATAAAGTCATTATTTAGATCAGTTTAGTTAAATTTGATTCGGTTATAGTTTTATATTATAGTTTTTGTTTATATTTTGACTTGATTTAATTTTTATATTTTGTGTCTTCGCTTTACTTTTAGTTATAGATTTAGTAATTTTGTGTTTTTAGGATTTTTATTAGATTTTGTTATATATATATATGTTTTAGTTTATTAGTTGAAGTTATTTTAATGCTTTAGGTTAAACTAAATTAAATAAGAAATATGATCTTAATCATAAATCTTAAACTTTATGATGTTGAAGTAAAATTTTTGTATTTTTATGTGCTTTCATGTTTTTGGTTTTTGTTTCTTTAAAAAATTCTGAACATTTTTATTTTTATTTCGATTTTAGTTTTATGAGTATGTACAACAACTGAAGCAAAATAGTATATTTATAAACTGTTATAGTTTTTATTATTTTTAATTAGCTTTTATTTTGATATTTTCCGTTTATTTTTTTGTCATTTTGTATGTGTTTTTGCTTCTTAAATATATACTAATGTTTTTTTTATGCCAGTTTTAGTTTTGTAAGTATGCACAACAACTGAAGCAAAATATTATATTTATGTACTATTGTAGTTTTTATAAAAAAAATTTGGAAGCAGTGGAATTAGCTTTTATATTTTTTAGCTTTTATATTTTCACTTTTCATTTTAGTTTTTTAGTTTTTGTAATTTTTATGTGCTTTCATCTTTTTTTGTTTTTGTTTCTTGAAAAATTCTAAATAGTTCATTTTATTTTACTTTTATAAGTATGCACAAAAATAGTCTGTGTGCATATAATTTATTTAATACATGAGTTTCACAATTTGAGTTGAATTACTGAAATAAATGAACTTTTCCACGACATTCTAATTTATTGAGATGCACCTGTATACTATTACATATATGTATACTGTATATATAATAATATATGTACTAATATAATTTTTTTGTATTTGCTTTTATTTTTATGTTTTATATATTTTTTTGTAATTTTTATGTGCTTTTGTCATTTTTTTTGTTTCTTAAAAATATTTCTAAATAGTTTATTTTTAATTTGTCTCTCAACTGCCCAGTCAAACAGCGAGTTCATTTTTTGTACGTTTATGAAAATCAGAAGTCAACACCACAATAACAATGCAGTTATCAACATGAAAGAAATGAGAGTCAGATCCAAACGGTCTTAAAACTGTTGAATGTGTTTCAAAGCCTCACAAGCGTGTGGTAAATAATAACCCAAACTCTCCTTCGGATCCAAAATAATTTCATAAGAGAAAAAACCTGAAAAGCACTCACACACACTCACTCACTCTCTCACACACACACACACACACACACACACACACAAACACTCACTCACTCACTCACTCAC